ACAGCTCGGGCGGAGCAGGAGAGCAGTAACGGGGCTCCCCTGGACGGGCGCGCTTCCCGCTGCCGGGCAGTGCTCCCAGCTCTTTTGCGGTTCTTCCCACAGGAGAAAGGGGAGGTGATAAACTGAGGCACAAGGTTGAGAATGGAGTGGTGGAACTGTTTCTTTAACTCGCAAAAGAGTTCACATGAGATGTTCCTCAGAGCTATGTTTCTGTCTGAAGTGCAATACTTACGTATTCACTTAGGCTTCCATGAATGTTGCGGGTCTGACAAATGAGTTTAGAGGTGTCCTGCTGCACGCTTGTGTAACAGCGTGCACAAAAGCAAGTGATAGCTGGACTCGTGTAGAGTGGAAGAAGCCCTGGCACTCGCTCAAAGCAGAGCGGGTTCAATTCAGAGATACCTGCATATTTGTATTTTGCAGTACGTTTATACGTGAAGTTTTCTTGGCAGAAAGACCTTGCAAGCTACGGTGGTCTGGACAGTATTTGCAGTTTGGATAGTCAGAATTGCAGTCTTTGTTACCCTTGTTGGCTAGCAATCTTTTCTGTTTTCAGTGAGTTTTCATCAGAACAGAGTTTTGGCTTCCATGAACACCTGCACTCAGGATGATTTTGCCAGGGTTGTGCTGTAGAACCAAGTTTTGACCCCTTATTTGTTCCTCCATTTTTTGAAGAGGACAAACTTAAGTTCCAGAAATTATCAAAACCATTGTCAGGTGACTGTTGCTGGGAAGCAATTTCTTTTGTAGATCCCCAGCCAGGTGTGTTAAGGTTGCTGAGGCACAGGGTCCTCTCTGTTGTACATGGTGTGAAGAGGCCAGGTGGGATTGCTCTCCTGGCTTAGCCACAGTGACTAAATTGGAAAAATACCCACATATGGATGCTCTGTAGCCATGTAGGAGGTGTCAGCTGCAGTAGCAGTGCAGCTGGGCTGTGGTTAAAGATTATTTGTGCAAGTTTCTGGCAAAAGGTGTAGTTTTGCATTCCTCTCTCCTCCCGTGTGCCTGATGCTTGTGAGGCTGCACAGTGACCAAATCCAGGGACCTTCCCTTTCCAAAAACAAACCCAGCAAAAAAGTTCCCATGTCAAAGGGATGCATCCATGGACCTGGTGTTTCACGTGGCTGCAGTCCCTGGCCCAGTGGACCACAAGTGGGCGTAGGTTATGACCATGGTACTGATCCTCAGTTGCTGTAATATCAAATGAAACAGCCCTAACCTTGTTCACTTCTGCATGATCCTCTGCTGGTTAGGCTCAGCTTAGAGCAGTCACAGACCTGCCCTAACCTGTGCTGGCCAGACCTGTCCTGTGCAGTGGAGACTTCTGGTCTCTCTGTAGGCTCTCTCAAGGGAACTGACCATAGTCAGCGGTTCCTTGCCCCTTCTATCAGCTTCTGGCTCCTCAAAGCACTGTTTAGGGGACATGGCAGAGATCTTGCCTTTGGGCTGTGTGTGTGCTGCGGTTAGGGCTGGCCTGCCTGTGGGCAACAGCTCCTCAAGGGCTCGCTTAGCAGACGGAGGGTGGCTGGGGCGTGCCGCCCTCTTGCTGTGACACTGCCGTAGCAGTCAGCGTCGTTGCGGTGTTGAGGGAAACTTCTGAGCTTTCCCGGAGGTTGGCTTCACTAATTTAGCAGGCCAAACTTCACTGTGACTGTGGCATCATTGTATTTAGTCAGACCTTTTCAACATACATGAGCCCAGTAAATACTGATACCGTAGGAGAGGCTGACGCAGAGCTCAACAGCCGGCCCAGGTTGTGGACAGTTGATGTTTTCTGTGCCTGTTGGGACCCCTGTAAACTCTGCAGGTGTCTCTCTGGTCTCATTCACAAAGAATGTGTATTGTGGACAAGGTCTTTGATTTATTTTTTTTTTTTTTTCCCTCTCTCTGAGAAAAGCTTTAAATGGATACACAAGGGCCTTCAAATGGGAAGGAAAAGGTGCTTTTTAAAAAGGAGGTAACATCCTTGAAATTGTAGTTCCTGGCAAGTGAATTAGGTGATACAGTAAGATACTAAATCTTGCTCCAGACTTCTCTGTGTCCTCAGAGTAGTAACAGCAGTGTGGTTTAATGCCTGTTGTGAAATTAATCTCAAAACCCGTGGATAACAATTAGCCATGTTCCCAGCCTAAGTCTCTGCTAATGACCAATTTAGACCGGTGCCAGTGCCTTGCTACTGCTGCCTTTGACCATCACTTCCATAACAACTCTACTGCATTTAGAAAACACTACTGTCTGTCAGAGAACTTTTTTCGTTGTAGTTAGTAGGATACGATGTCTGATAGCAATCCCCTGACTTCTTGCTATTTTAAAAAGTAAAGCTTTTAAATCTATAATATAAGCTTTTAGTGAAAAAACAACTGAGCAGCAGAAAGGCTGGATATTTAAAATAAACCTTTGAATCAGTCTTATTTCTGCCTTTAGCATTTACTGGCTTCATGCTGTTCTGATACAGGCAGTAAGCAGAGCTGCTTGAGTAGTCGGATTATTGGGGAATATCCTTTAGAGTTTGGTTTAAAAATTCTTCTAAATACATAGGCTGAATATTGTCTTCATGCTACTTTTGGGTGGAAGCCATCGAAGTCAGTGTTAGGGAAGGAGATGAGAAAATGGTACATGTCCACCCTGAAGAGGTCGATGGTTGCACTTCAGGGTTGGCTGCCTGTTACGAAGTGGTGGTGTAGCTGGATAACATCTGTAGAGGTCTTAGAGGACTACTGTCATAGTTGATAAGGGAGGGAGATTGGAGGGGGTTGTTACCATGCCTTGTCCTCTTTAACAAGGGTTAATGCGGTGACAGAGTGTAAAAGGTGGCTGGCAGCTGGTGTGAGCAGGCTGCCAGCACTCAACACAGGTTGCACTTCCTTTCTCAGTAGGGCCTCTGTCAGACCCTTGTGTTTTACACAGCTCTTAAGCTGATCATCTGACACCCTGAAAAACAAACTACGGTGTCTGAGAACCCCACAAAAACTGTCGCCAGTGAATGGACAGAGGGAGACCACAACATGGGCACGGTCGTATGGGAAATCTGCAATAGGATTTCAGAGTAGATGCCTTTCCACTCGCTCTTGGGTGCTGTTGTCTTTTTTTTTTTTTTTTTTTTTTTTTTTTTCCTCTTTCCTGCAACATTAAGCAAATAATGTCACATGGACGAAGCAGCAGGTTTCATGCCAGAGCTTGGTTATTCTTTTTCCCAGACAGGAACCATGGAGTGAGTGCACTGCAGTGATGGGAGAAATCACCCTCAAGTAACTTGTAAAAAAAACTACTGATGGAAATGCACTTAACTGTGTGATTTAAATAATGCTGTCATTGGATCTATGAAGTATATAGCCGTTATAAAATAACTGCTTTCCATGTTAAAAGAAAAAAGTGAGTTAAAAGAAAAAAGTGAGTTAAAAGAAAAAAGTGAGTTAAAAGAAAAAAGTGAGTTAAAAGAAAAAAGTG